GATCCAAAATATGTTAGAATTGTTAATGCATTATTTATTAATAATGGGAATTCTTCAATATTAAGTTGAGAGTAGAATGAAATAATTTCCGACGTTTGAAATAAGTTTTCAAAATTGTTATTTTATCTCAAACGTTTTAAATTTGTCAATAAGTGTTTGCATAGTTAGACCCAAGTAGTGTATAATATGTTCATTCATTTAAATGATTAATAATTTTTAATTCAAACTTTAAAACATAATTTTAATGTTGTTTATGACTACTGAAACGGAACCTTTTGAAATTCATATTATGCGCCAAGATTAAAGTCAATCAAACAGTGTGAACTGAAACAGTGGCCAATAAACATTAAGCTTCTATGTCCTTTAACTAAGTCCTTTCGAAAGGTTCGTATTGAGCATTTATGACAATTGGCTTTTCTACTTCAAGTTCCCAAAAGGTACTTGACTGAACAGGAGGAATTTACAATAAAGCATTAATATAAGCACTTTATATGCAATAATATATAGTAAGGAGTGTTTCCAGGACAAAATTACAATTGTTTTGATACATTTATTTTTAAGAAAGTTTTTTTTGTAATTCTTTGAGATGTTTATAAGAATTTTTTGAACTTAACACATTAATTAATTACGAAATGTTAAATTTTTGCTAATACTATGTAAATTAAATTAAAATAAGCATATACTGTATACAGTATAATGACATAATATGAAATAATATAAAATTAGATTTTATCTAATTTTAAGATGGTATATAATACCATGCATGGCTTTTTTAATTTCCACAATGCATTGCATAATGTTTATAATGACTTATATTTAAATCATGACATGCATTAAATTACTCCTGTGGGTCCGGTCAGACGGGCCTCGAAAGCGCGTAAAGTAAGACTGGATACACCTTTGCCGCCGGCGCACCCCTCCTGATCGTCGGCCACGTAAGCCATGGACATGAAAAATGTGTCGCCTGCGCAACGGCCACCAGTCACTACACCATGATTTACCTCATTCATATCACCTACATGTATATTGTTAATTAGTATGATCTTAGGCATTAATATTTATAATTAAATTTAATAAGCCAAATTAGGCAATAATGCTACTGCTTTTATAATCTAAAACATGTAATATAAAGTATAAGTGTTTTATATACAGTATAAGCGAGATAAATATTAATTTGAAACGTACCATTCAAATGTGAAATGTACACTGATAATTTATCAAATAACAATTTTTCCGCTTGACCATCCACAACGATTTCGTATTCATTCCATACGGTATCCATTGAAAAATATCCATTGCACGTGACATCGAAGGGTAGTGAGAAATCTAAAAGCTGTAAGTATTGCACTTGCGACCCTATACATTTTGCCGACTCCGATATAGTAAAGTTTACGTTTATGAACGGTGTAATTGCTATAATAAATTAATTTTTATATTGAAATAGGTTTAATAATGTTAAGGTATAAATATTATTACCATGCTTTTCTCCTGTTTTGGGCAACCCATTCTTATTTACACTGTTATTTCTTACTTTTTCACAAGTATCTTCTATTAAAATAGATTTTAATAAATATACTTTACTTATATTATAATTAACTATATAATTTTACTTACCATCAGAATAAACAGTAGTTAAGCTAATAATTAAACAAACGGACAATAAAATAGTAGAATAATTCATTATTAATATAAATATTTTTAAAATTAATTTCTATTTAACTCGTATAACTTTATTATAAATTATGATAAAACCTTTTAAAAGTCATTTTATTTATACTAGTTTTAACACATTATCTAGTGAGATATAAAACATAGATATGCGTTAATTAATGATGGTTAATATAATTAGCACAACTCATAAATATAATAGTATTTTTCATGTTATCGAGTAAGTCAGAACTTGATGTTATTTAATGTACTTTATGTACCAGGGTCACATATTGGGCTCATAATTGTAAACTAAACATTATATCAAGTATATTCATGTACTTGTAAATTGAGCTCCAGATATATTGAAGGACATTAAGATTGTACAAGATTATTTGATTTTGTAAAAATTATATACTGTAAATATCTTAAAGTAATACTCTTTAAAATTAAATTTTTAAATGAAATTAAAATTCTACAAATAGATGTGCAACGACAATGTGTATTTATTACCCAGGTCTACTATTACAAAATTTTGCTAATTATTTATACTTAGGTTTAAACAATACTATACTGTATTATGAAATAAATTGATTTCTTAATAGACATTAAGTGTTAAATAATTAAACATTCTAAAGTAGATAATTTAATCTAACCTGGATTAAAATGCAGTTATCCCAAGTGTGTACTCTATATATTTTATTCGCAATGTTTAGTGTAAAGGTATAACAATAATTAAAGTTTTATATAAAGTTTTACACCATGTCTTAAATAAAATTTTAAACAACTATTTACAATGAATTATTTAAATATTATTAACATTGTTTGTTTTATATTTCTTTTCACATCAGTTTATTTTAAAAGTATTCATAACTTAACAAATAATGTTAAAAATAAAATGTAAATAAAATTTAATTAATTATTTTTATAGAGATCGATGCGAACGGGAATCAAAATATTAATATTAATGGCTTTCCTAAAACTGGACAAAGATTTGGTAATTTTATATTCATATAAAAAATTATTAGCCAGTCAAAAAACATCCTGAAAATATCATATACCCAATATTTATTAAGTAATTTATTATAGCTGTTACTCCCTTTGCGAAAACAAACTTGACTGTATCGGAATCAATGAAATGTACAGGGTCAGTCGTACAATACATTAAACTAAACACAATGACAGCTCCCAGTGAGTTCACCTGCAACGGCTATGACTCATATCTCTATGAGGGGAACTGGACATATGAAATAAGCGTGCATGGTCAAGTGGAACAATTGCAATTCAATAAAATAAGCGCATACATATCATATTTAAATGGTGAGTCAAATAGCCATGCTAAATTAATAAATGAACTTTTAGTTATAATAATTAGTTAATTAGTGTCTGATTTTAAGTCAACCACTAGTTTTTGTATTACAAACAGTATAAAGTAGATTTATTTAATCAATGTAGATTAATGCTTTAATGTGTACATTACACCAAGCACAAACCAGTTTTTATTGTAATAGTATAGTTTATAAGTTTTCATCGATATTAACTAACAAGTAATGTATCTATTAAGATATTATTTAAAGTTCATACTTAAACAATTGAAAAGTTAACAAGTTGTGCTTAATAAAAAATTTAAATCATCACATTTATTTTGTACAAAGGTGATATGACCGAGGTGAACACAGGCACAGTGACCGGTGGCCGGTGCGCGGGTGACATATTTTTTAGGTCCAGCGCATACATTGCCGACGATCAGGACGGGTGCGCCTGTAATAAAGGCGTGGCCTCTCTTACCATGCGCTACGTCGAGGCCAGACTGTCCGGACCCAAGTGTGGCCCAACCGCCTGTACGCTAGAATACGGCCACATATTGTTGGATCCACCTGTTTGCAATTATTGATCATGATAATATAAATAATTAAATGAAGATACATAATTATTATAATTAATTTGTTAAGAATGGTTAAGCTTAATAAAATTATAGTATTATTAAAACTTTTGTATATAATTTAATTGTTTTTATTTAATTCGTTTAATTGTCTAAAACTACTGATAATGTAAGTTTGTGAGTGATAACTACATTATAATTATTTCAATGCATAAGTTCACAATTTTGTCCGATAATATAGTACATTATTAAAATATTATTTTTAGATCTCTGTATATTAAAGTTTGATCCAATAATTTGATTGTATTATATTGTATAAAATATCCTGTTCGCACTCTAGTATAGCAGGCATGTACATAATTTTAGATATGTTAAAATAAAACTATTATTAGATAATAAAACAATGAAATTATATACATGTAAGTTCATGGAATTGTAACATGCTATCTCGGACAAATCACTAGAGGTTCGAGCAAAGATTATTAAAAAACTAGATTGTATTTATGGATTAAAATTAAGACAAATTAGCGATAACATATTCAATTTAACATTCCGCTCGAGTTCAAATAAAAAGTATATAAATAGGCTTAAATGTAAGAATTAGTAACAAATCTAAGTTGTACCTAGCCTATCAACAATTCATAACAATTGTTTTACATTACAATGAATTATAAACGTGAGCTATATATAATAATTTTGTATATTTTTATTAAGAATATAATACAATTAATTAAGCCTGTCCAAAGTGTTTTTAGTATATCACAGATACAGATTCACAGTATGCCATAAAAAGGTGGCGCAACGGTCAGTAAAAAGTTTATGTTTGTTAGTATTAAACAAGAAACACCGCGTGAAGGTCAACCTAATAGTTTCTTACCCATTTTTATAGTGGTTGGCTTTCAGTCTATCAACAAAATGTCAATTCAAACAAAATTTAATTATTAAACACACTTTTTAATGAGATTTGTGATAGTATTTGCGATTATCAACAATTTTATTAATATTTGACTTAATGTCATTTGATGACCATATTTTCAAACGTGATTTTAATGTTTTTGGCAAATACTACCAGTTTTGTAATTTTTAAGCGATTTCATTAGGAAAAAAATTGTTCACAATTAAAAGTCGATCCAAAATATGTTAGAATTGTTAATGCATTATTTATTAATAATGGGAATTCTTCAATATTAAGTTGAGAGTAGAATGAAATAATTTCCGACGTTTGAAATAAGTTTTCAAAATTTTTAATCCAAACTTTGAAACATAATTTTAATGTTGTTTATGACAATTGGCTTTTCTACTCCAAGTCTCTAATAGAGACTTCATTGAACAGCAATANTTAAGTTGAGAGTAGAATGAAATAATTTCCGACGTTTGAAATAAGTTTTCAAAATTTTTAATCCAAACTTTGAAACATAATTTTAATGTTGTTTATGACAATTGGCTTTTCTACTCCAAGTCTCTAATAGAGACTTCATTGAACAGCAATACAATTAATTATTATCATATTAATTTTACAGATTTTATACTAACATTAATAAGCCTAATCGGCTACACCAATGCCATTCACAATTGCCCCAGCCCAGCCGTGTCAATTAGATACCCATGCTACTTTTCAGAAAGTGTCGATGGCTGTAACATCCACTGCGGAGGCGCACTACCCTTTGACCCCGATTTAAGGGCCATTTTTGTCGACTTAGACCACAAACTGCCTGAAAATAAAAAACAATTTTTCGCATTCAATCTGAACAACACGGCTATAGAGGAACTGCCGGCCAACGTATTCGCTGGCATACAATTTACTGAGATTTATATAAATAACACATTCAGGTTGCAACATATAGATCCCGATGCTTTTAACGGTACCATCGGTACCGTAACCGGACTTTGGACGGACAGCGCGCCAATCGCCGGCAACAAACTATATACGAACAATATGTTTGCCGCCATCTCTACCCTAACAGAATTGACCAAGCTTACAATTAGAAACGGCTCATTGGCCAGTGTGCCCACCGGTGCCATCGCGGGGTTAAAACAATTGACCTATGTTGTATTAGATGGCAATCCCATAGCAACCATCGAGACGCATGCGCTGAGCGATTTGCCTGCCCTCCAAACTGTGTCCATCACTGGCGCACAAACCTTATCAGTTGTGGCCAATCGGGCGTTTCCAGTCGGCCCGGGTCTGGCCAGTGGTGGCCAACGGTTGGACATACAGTTTGTTGCCGACGATCTGACCCCCGAGTCGTTCGCCAGCGGCGCGTTTGACGCCATCGGACGGCCGACTGAGCTCTATATGGAGTTTAATTTTGTAGACTATTTGAATGTCGATATTTTTGACACCTTTTTGGCCGCCAATCCATTGAATACAATACATATGGGAAAGGGGTTTAAGTGCGCCGACAGTCGTAACCAATGGATTCACGATAAATATCCCACAGTTTGGAAAGAACTTAAGTGTCTAAACTGAGCATGATACTACAATTTTTAATTAAATTATTGTATTATTATTAATAAATTTAATTGATATATAATCAATTATAAATCAAGGTTATTACAGTGATTGTTACAACATATAACTCAATTCATTTATTAACAAAAATAATAATAAGTTTCATTAAAACAAAATTAATTAGTCAACAATTTCCAAATCAACCCCGGTGCAAAAAATGGGCTCATCTCTATTGTCATTAATAATGTGTACATTGAGTTGTATGAGTTGGGCGTCGAGCAGTAAATCCTTGGGTAAAGTGCTTTTCAACTCAAGCGTATTGTTGTGATTGGCGTGAATTGGACAGTGAGAGTGGGAACAGATGTTGGCCATGAAATCGGGCAGATATTTATCAAGTTGTACCCTCTTTTCACCAGTGGGTGAATCATATATAGCGACCAGGACCAACAATACGCTTGAGTTGAAAAGCACTTTACCCAAGGATTTACTGCTCGACGCCCAACTCATACAACTCAATGTACACATTATTA